TGTGTGTGTTTTTTTTTTTTTTTTTGGTTTTTTCAAGACAGGGTTTCTCTGTTTGCTTTGGAGGTTGTCCTAGAACTCGATCTGTAGACTAGGCTGGCCTCCAACTCACAGAGGTCCACTTGCCTCTGCCTCCTGAGTAGTGCTGGGATTAAAGGCGTGTGCCACCAACGCCTGGCTTTCATCTCCATTGTGCTAAAAGTTACTTCATCTAGACTTTCTAGTTCACTTTTATAAGCCTTCACGCAACATTCTAGCCTCTTCTGCCTGTCCAACAGTTTCAGTGATGCCTGGTTCTTATTCTGGGATTTCTTTTTAATTACATTTTATATCTATTTATTTGTGTGTATGTGTGTGTGTGAGAGAGAGACAGAGAGAGAGAGAGAGAGAGAGAGAGACAGAGAGAGAGACAGAGAGACAGAGAGAGACAGAGACAGAGACAGAGAGCACCACATACCAGTAGAGGTCAGAGAACAACTTCCCTAATGTAGGTGCTGGGAATTGAATTCTGCTCATTAGACTTAGCAGCAGGAGCTTGCTGGGTCACTTTCCTATCTCTTGAGTTTTAAACATGTATATATTCCTCCATCCCCTCTTTTCCCCTTCCCCGCTATCTTTTTGAGACAGTCTTTTACTGAAACTGGACCTCACTGATTGGCCACACTGACTCGACCATCAAACCCCCGGAATCATCTTGTTTCTGCCTCCCAGTGCTGGTTACAAGCCCTTGTTGCCTCAGCTGGCCTTCCACATGGCACAGGGATCCAAACCAGGTCCCTCATGCTTGCCTAGCAAGACCTTTACTTTTATTTTGAGGCAGAAATCTCACTCAGTTGCCCAGACTTGCCTCTAACTTGCTCTGTAGCCCAGGAAGGTCTTGACCTTGCTGACCCCCGGCCTCAGCCTTTGGGTTGGTTGGTATTACAGACTTGTGCCACCAGGGCCCACTTACACTGTTTCTATCAGTTCTTAGCTCAGCTATATCTTGCAAGCAAGTACTAGTGTTCTACTGTGTTGGAAGATGTCCCTGAAGAGACAAATAGTGACTTCTTTCCTGTTTTGATATCTGTATTTAGTTTATGCGGAGGTTTTTTTTTTAGGGGGTGTTTTGTCTTCTCAGTTAAAACCCTTGTGGGGGATAAAAGCTGCTAACCCAGTGGGATAAGTTACTCAAATAGCAGCATTTCCTTTCGATTCACTTGGTTTAAAGTGATTTTCTTTTCATAATAAGCATGTGTGCCTTCCCAAAGGATTCAGTATGCAGAGTGGAGACCAGAGCCTGGCTCACCAAGTCTCTTCAGCTGCTTCTGACATGGAAGTCTTCCTCTCTCCTTTAGCTCCTGAAGAGCTAATTTGTTGCCATTATTAGGAAGAGTCATTAAAAAAAATGTATTTCTCTCCTCTCAGGATGATGAACCTCCAGCCAAAGGGAAGAAGAAAAAAAAGAAGAAGAAAGAGGAAGAGATTGACATAGATGTGGACGACCCAGCCGTGAGTCGATTCCAATACCCGTTCCATGAGCTCATGGTGTGGGCCGTGCTCATGAAGCGCCAGAAGATGGCGGTCTTCCTGTGGCAGCGCGGGGAGGAGAGCATGGCAAAGGCCTTAGTGGCCTGTAAGCTCTACAAGGCCATGGCCCACGAGTCCTCCGAGAGCGAGCTGGTCGATGACATCTCTCAGGATCTGGACAACAATTCCAAGTGAGCATCTTGAGGGAATCTGAGGCCAAGGCTGCCTGCTACCCTGGTGCTCTCCCCATTGAAGCCATGAGCACTGAGCTTCTCCTTTAAAGACCATTGTGGCTGAGGCTTACTCATAAACCACCTTGCCCATCCTGTCTGCCAGTATTTTCACTGCTGTCCCTCTGGGCTATTTCTGGGTTGT